AATCATAAATTTTTCTGCAAAAATGATGATAAAATAGTTTCTGTTGAACTTTTGGCACAAAAACATTTCAAATTTATGATTTCATGTGTTCAACATGTTTAATTTATGTCAATGATGACAGGTATTGATAATTTCATTTCCAAATATCTCCAGAACCATTACGTGTAGTGATTTTTACCAAGAAACCTTTACTACTTAAAAAGCGTCGTAAATGTATATTTTTTTACTCAGTAGTTCTATACAGGTACGGACGAAAAGTTATTACTCGTCAAACCAGTTAAAAAATGTGTACGTGGCGCCCTCTACTAGTAGGAGTCATATTAACATCAAAATTAAATTTCTCATGTCAAAAAACTTCCAGACACCAATTTTCATCCAAATATTGACGTTACTTCAGAAATTATTTGGAAAAAATCGAAATAAAAATGTAACTTCTACACCCTGTATCTCCGAAACTATTAGGACATACATTTATACGAACTTTTTTACTGAACAAAATTGAGTTTTATGACAAGACTTTTGCACAGGGTTTTGGTACTATGGATATAAAGAGGACAGAGATTTTAGCAATAATTAAAATTTTAATTCATGATATAATAAAGAAATACAGGGTGACGCACCTCATTCGTCTCGGTTGATTATACGAAAACGGAAGGATGTAGAAAAAAAAAATTATGGTTGTATATGTGGGAAGGAATGTGCATAATTTAAAATTATTTTGAAATGTACAGGGTATGTCAGAACAAAGATCCACACCAAAGTTATATTTTAACACTCGGTATTTTATTTCATATTTGGACCCTTGGACACAAAATAAGGCCTTTATTATAAGGGTTAAATATTTTTACAAACTTTGGTTTTTTAGATATTTAAGGTATTTAAATATGCATGCTATAATAAAATAGATTGTACATTACTTTTCAGAATTAATTCTTGTACTGACTTTTAAGCCAAAGAAATAAACTTTACTGAAAAATTTGATTGCTTCGTTTAATGTATACAGGGGTATCAAAAATTGCTGGTCTATTTTAAATATTTATTTTACAAAAAAAACTTTATTAATTCAAATACAACACTCTGTATTTTCTCTAGGGTTTTTTATTTTCAAAATAAAAATTAGTTTATGGACTTTATTTAAATTTATACCAGTTTACTTTTATTTAATTTGCCTACAATAGTTTATTAAATAATAGTTATTAAATATGTATTTATTATTCTATCAAGAAAAAAATATATATAAAATATTTTGAGACGATTTTTATAAAATTAAGATAACTAAAAAAGGTATTATATCAATGACATGATATCAAGTTAAATTTAAATTAATATTATTATTTTTACGTAAAATGTAAAAATAATCATACAGAAAGTTTGGGGCTCTTGGGTTTTACCTTATTAAGTAATTGCTATCAGGTAGTAATTGTTAATTTTAATCAAGTTAAAAATGTCATTTTAACAGAACGTCAACGGTTTCTTGTAGACCACAAAACATCCCCCTTTAGAACTTTTTCTTTAATGGCCATAAGCGGGAGTAAAAGCCCAACCGCCCGAACAAACACTAGAGGCGCCACCGGTCATCAAATGGTGTAAAAATTGCGAAAATTTAATCTTCTAATTTTGACACAAGGGGTCGGGCTTAACTTTTTCAATTTTAATTCAACATTCATTGCTTTCAAACTATATTATTGGACTTTGTTGTATTTTGTAAATGTATAAATGTTTTCTAAGTATAAAGTTGCATTATAGTAATTTAAATTATATTACATACATATTTAAGATTCAAATATTATGACATATATGTCAGTTGCCGTCTAAAATGTCATCTTGATAACAAAAAGTTAGTTATTGTCAAAAGTAGTTAAAACCATGTTAAAATATTAAAATTTAAAAGTTATAATTAGATATTTTATATTATTTCAACAACAAACACATAATAGTACCGCGTAATGTTGATATGCAGGTTCAAAACAGAAAGTGCCGTTATATTTTTCAGTTTTCGTTGTCAGCCGCGGAAATTTCAGTGATTTTAGTGTTGTCGGATATTTTTATTTGTGAAATAGAAATATTGCGTTTGGATTGCAAAACTAAAAGTGGAAGTTTTATTGCAATGTAAGTAAGCGTTTGTCCATTTTATATTTTACTTTTTTCATACCTACGACAAATAAATATGCATATATTGAAATTTAATAATTCGTTTTATTTAAAAAATGTTAGAAAACAAGCTTGTAATCGTGTAATTGACATAATTGTAATGTAATATATTCCATTTAAATGTAATATATTACTTTACAATTAAAAAAATGTAAATTTAAATATATTAAAATATATACAGGCATTAATTGAAATTTTTTGAGTGCGAACAAACACGAGAGGCGCTTTATTATTTACTTTCATTTCTTAACATGACAGACGAAGTTCTAAAGGGGGATGTTTTGTGTTGTAGACGTATCTGTTTTAAAAAAGTAAAGTGTTCTCGAATAGTTGAATTTAAATATTTTAAATAGTTTTTTCTTTATTCTTTGTATTTTTTTTGCTTCCGACGACGGAAGGAGATAACTTTCCGAAACGTTAAGCATTTTTTTCTTTGTTAGGCAAATTTGTATTACTGTAAACGTAACTTCTGACAAGCAGCGTCCGTTTAGGTTTAGCGCAGAAGTGTTTCCAAAAAATAACTATTTTATTTTGTAGATTTTCTTGCAGTGCAGTGGCGAAATACCCATAAAGGATTTTTTTGGATAGCTACTATTACTTCAATTTTAAATAAAGTTAACCTTAATTAAAAATATATTCAAAAGCATCGTTTATTTTTAATAAAGATACTATATTTAAAATAAAGCGAAAATTACCGCTTTGTTAGTTTATTAATTTTTAAATTACTTTTTTAACTCATATTATATTTTCAATGGATAGGGAGGTCTCTTTTACTATTATTGGACATTTTCAAATTAAATTTTTGCCTGGCAGATTTTTCATTGATCTATTTAATATTATTTATAAAACTGTTTTGGAAAAAAAATTATAATTTTTATTATATACACATTTTTTAAATATAAATTTTCTACACAAACTTCCTATATTTAAAGTAAAGTTTTTTGAGTTATGCTAATATAAATTATTTTAAATATACTCGCACGACATGCTTTTTCTAATATGTTATCTTTCGCATGCAAAGGGCTATTGTTCTAAGAAGTTCAATAATGCAGGAACTGGGTTCACTGTTATTTAAGTTTGTCAAAGTGTAACAGAAAGTTACCTTTAATTTAAATATTTTATAGAAAAATTTCTCAAAAATATTATTTTAAATTTTACTTAGGTACTTTGTTTTACTGGGTGCATACTTAAAAAAGCACTGTATGGAAGCTATACAGGATGAGTCTTAAATAGGTGCAAATATTTTTAGGGGTAGGATGTTTCAAGGAACACGTCTATGTTTTTTTTTTCGCGAAAAAAATAGATGCGAATTTTGAATGTTCTAATTTTGTTTAATTTCCAGTTAAAAAATAATATTTTGATAATATGGCAACATAGGTAGCAGATTGAACATATATAAAAAATCTAGTTGTTCTCAAAATGTAGGCACAATTTTTTTTTTATTTTCAAAGTAAAAATAAACTCAGCTATTTTGGACTCATTTGAAAAACGGTCAATAAAAAATATGTTTCTTTTATGGAGATCTACTAGCCCTGAAAATATTTGCTTTTATTTAAGACTCACCCTGTATGTAACACTACCTGCCTAAAATTAGTAGATTTTGTAATATTTCAATTTATTTAAGAAAATGTTAGATTTCAGTTAGGTAAAAAATTGTCGGTAGTACTATTGTTTCTGAAGTTGGTGTACTGAAATTTCGTAAAGGTAGTTTTATAGAGATGAAGAAAACGATATAATATGTAAAGATATTAGAACTAGATGATACAGGGTGTTTAAAACTTATAAGTTTTGACTAAATTAATCAAATTAATTAAGAAGAGTAAATCTGAAAAATTTAGAATAAATCGCAAACTATTAAAAATAAGTACACGACATACTTCATAAGAGTTGAAGAATTTTGTCAAATCTACCAGAAAAAAATATACCTTGTGTGTCATTTAAAAAAATTGGGATTTTTTAATTTTAAACAATAGAAATTCATTGATTTATTTTGAACACCCTGTAACCTCTAACTGAAATATCTTCACATATATTTTTCCTCATCTCTATAAAACTCTTTTACTAAATCTAACAAAAAATCTAACATTTTTTAAATAAATTAAAATTTACAAAATCTACCAATTATACACAATATCAATATAAAAAAGTTATAGAATTTTACGCAAAATATAAAAATAGGGTAATGGTTCATCCGCCACACTTTTTTAAGGCACTGTGTATAGCCAAATTAATTTTCAATTATGTATCTTAATATTCTCTAATTTTTTTTCTATGTAACATTTTTTCGTAATTCTCAAAATAAATGAAAATATAAATTTTACACTATCGTTGACTCACCCTGTACAAAACTAAACAATAATAAGTTCTGTTATAAAATTGAAGAAACTACGAAAAATAGTTTCTTCGTTTTTTTTTTTTTCAAATATAATGCCGTACAATAAACCACACTCAGTATACAGTATGTCCCCAGATTATGTTTAGAAGAGGAAAAACCTTTTTATTGATAACTTTTTTCTTTTGTTTGTTTTAAAATGATATACTTTTTATTTTTCTTCTTATTTTAAAACAAGCAAAAACTTTTAATAAAGAATGAATTTTGTCTCAAAAAATTAATAATAAAAGGAATTCCCTCTTGCAAAGCCAATCAGGGGACATACTGTATAATACAAATAATACGAGTCTATATTATTTAGCTAGAAATTATTAACATCATTTTATTTATAATTAATATTAATAAAATTTATATTTATATATTGCACGCAAAATAATAGAATTAAACACATTTCAATAAATATAATTTTGAAAATTCATTAGTGTCTATAAAGTTTTTTAAAGTTTAAATGACTTACCGATAGATTAATCTTCTAGGGTCTGCCACAAGTCAACCGAAAAAAATCTAATTTTCGTGTAAGAAAATTAAAAACAAAAATTAAAATATTCTTTCTAATTTTTACTGATTTTCCCTCAAAACCAAGTTAGAAAAAAAATTGTTAAAATCTCGCAACTTCTGCAGGTCTTATTAGAATGGAGCACACCACAAACCTGCCGCTTCGGTCTTTATTTCGCAGGTGTTTGAAAGCTTACTAGCGACGCGCCAAAGCTTTGGCAGCTTTAAAGTTGCGCTATCCGACCAATGGAAACGCGTCGCTTTCCGCTACGACCAATGGGAAGGTGTCGGTTAAAAGTTAGCTACGAGTAGGCGAGGAATGTGTAGGATGCGTTTAAGAAAAGTGGAGCTATTTTTTAGCGTAGTTGCATAGAACTGTTTTGAGGATGGACGTCTGCCAAAAATAGAAGATGTGGTAACTGATGAGAGATAACTTAAATCGTCTTAAAATGTTTACTTTTACCTTTAATACAAATAGTTTCATTATTAGTTATAACTGTATTTTTTTCCTCGAAAAAGAATGGTGTCCAGTTAACTTCGATTGATGACATTCACCTAACCACGTAGACAGATAGATAGATAAATCTTTATTAGTTCCAAGTAATACAATTACATAAATTAACCCAAAATGAGTGTGGAACATGTTAACAAAGAACACCCAAGATATTAAAAACACTCACAAATTTACCCTAATATAAATATGATTCCTAAAATACTTTTCTGAAGAGTCTATGTAATGTATTACATATATAGCTATAATGTACTAGTTACAATATTTATATAATTTCAGCAGGGCCGTTCCTGGCGAGCGTGCAGTGCGTGCACGCACGTCAAGGGTCAATCAGTACTTTTTGTAACAAAAAACCGATACGCTTTCTTGCCAATAAACAAATACTTAAACCATCATAGGATGAAGTTTGCTTAGCGTCTTTTTTGCGTTGGCCGAACGAATAAACAAGTCTATAGGGCAATCTGTCGGCAACACATTGATCTCATCTATTTATTTTTCATTTTATTCATTTTATGGAAAGCACTGTTCATTAAAATGTTGTATCCTATCTTATAGGGCTTGTTTCTCTCGACAATTTCCTGTCTCACAATGTACCGTTTGTGTCGGGGAAGGGATCATAGTTTCATAGTTGTCGATTTTCGAAAGAAATCAGTACATGTATATTATTTCGTATATTTTTCATTTTATTGATACTATGGAAAGCACTGTTCATTAAAATGTTGTATCCTATGTTATAGGGCTTGTTTCTCTCTACAATTTCCCGTCTCACAATGTACTGTTTGTGTCGGGGAATGGATCATAGTTTCATAGTTGTCGATTTTCGAAAGAAATCAGTACATGTATATTATTTCGTATATTTTTTATTTTATTGATTTTATGGAAAGCACCGTTCATTAAAATGTTGTATTCTATGTTATAGGACTTGCTTCTCTCTACAATTTCCTGTCTCACAATGTACCGTTTGTGTCCAGGAAGGGTTCATAGTTTTATTGTTGTCGATTTTTGAAAGAAATCAGTACATCTGTATTATTTCCGAATTTTAGTTTATTGTTTTTATGTATTTCATATAAAATGGGTCAGTTTTTTTCTTTAGGGTACTATTTTTGTTACTAAATCTTTGTGGTTTTGTTTATTTTATTTATTTAATAAATGTTTTTATACTTTAATTAGAATAGTTTTTTACATTTCCAATTACATATTGCTCGTTTGTCGCAGAATATAAATTCTTTAAATTTTTGAGATTAAGATTAAAATATATAATTGATTTAAATATAAAAAAGGCGCACCAAAGAATGCTCCATATAGGCGCCAGATACCCCAGGAACGGGCCTGAATTTCAGTAAGAAAATAAATTGAAAACACAATAGTACAAATGAGACTAATAATTTGACATATGAAATGACAGCGATTTTATTTCAAATCCATCGCTGACCCCATTTTTTTTCGATCATATTTTATTTAGTAAGCTTCAATCAGAACCTCGAAATACTGGAATAAGTGGTTTTAATTGAGTTCAAAAGTTGATTGTTGTATGGATACAACTGACTAATCCCAGCTGTTGCTAGGATATTCTATTAATTTTAATTGTGTTTTTTTAACATTGTGAATGATCGTAAACTAAAAAGTATAAATTGTAATTGAAACCACTTATTTATTTCACTAATTGCGAGGTTTTAAAAAGGTTAACAAAGATTATTGAAAAAAATTGTAAATCTAAAATTTTTAAACCATTCATCGGACATAAGCCATAAAATATATATACTTGCAAACAATGGAAAAATTGAACTACAGAACTAAATGATCGCCTAAACGAGAAATAAAAGAGGCTTATAATCCAATCATATATAAATAAATATTTTGCTCAGGTATATATTATGTAGATGTTAGCTATATATGTTCTATTCCTTTGATTTTTGAAGTACAACACCATAAACATAAATCTTGCAAAAAAATATTCCATATACAGACATTTTCAACTTTTTTGTCTCACCACATCAGGTACTGAATGATAACTTTGATTTTATGTAATGTCAGGATATTAGAACAGAATTTTCCATCCTTATTTTCAGTATATTTATTTTGTCTTCTGTACCATATATAGGTCAAAAAATATTTTGAAACTCTCAATTCTCCTAAATCTTCTTGTTTATCCTAGATATTTTTATCAAAAATCTATGCATATGAATTTATGAATTCCCTACTTTTTTAGTACAGAATTTTTTGTCTTTTATGGATTTTCCAGTAATTGCTACTAGCAGGGTATTACAGATATATACCATTGAAAAATTAATACAAAGCTTACATCGTTAAAACATTTTTCTATGTTTTATATCAATTTTTTCAAAGTTAATGAAACATATTGGAAAATCTCCATCCGTACATCAAAAGTCGGGTATTTTTGAACTAAAAACTTCTGTTTATATTTTCTAATTATTTTATGAAAGAAGCTTAACTAATAATAGTGAAATAATTTGCTATTCCGAATCAAATTTTTATAATACTCAAAAATCTAAGAATTTCTAATTTCATCAGATTGAATCATTGTTATGTACATAATCAATTTTTTCTCCGATTATTTACAGGAGAAAAAATAAAACATAATATACGTTTTTGCTCTATCTAAATGAGACTAAACACATCCATTATGATAAAGTTCGAGTGGATACAAATAGATTTCAGATAGTTCATAAATAATCGAACATTTATTTGTAATTTGTGCTTCATTATCTGTGACAGCCGTGCAAACAATCCATACCCATTTTTTCCAGTATTATTTGGAGAGGTTCCAGAAAAATGAATATGATACAAAACAGTTATACATGTACAGGGTGGGTCAAATTCGACGCTTTTAAATGGAAACACCCTTTTCTATAGAAGATAGACGAAAACTAATATCGGTGTCTGGAGCTCAATTTTTGTCAAAAACATGACAGTGAAAACCGCATATCGATATCTGTTACCGTTTCAGAGTTACGGGGTGTTTTTCAAAAATGTGCATTTTTAACAAATCGCTGTAACTTTTTTGCTATGGAAAATTTTGTATTTCTATGAAAACATTTCCAAAGCACCTTTTTACGTAGAATTTAATGGTTTATGTATAATTTTTTTAAAATTAATAATTTAAGAGTTATCAACAGAAAAAATGATTTTTTATTTGGGACACCCTCTATATTTTTAATTAACTGAAAATAATTTAAAATTACCTTTCCAAAAATATAGCACACTTGATATTTTGTTATAATCCCCTTCGAAATACAGAATTTTTAAAAGTTCGCCACTTTTAACTAGTAGGTTTTTGACACCCTATTGATGATATGCCCTTAATGGAACTCGAAAACATATTTTTCCAATAAGACGACGCACCGCCTCCGAACGCTGAAATTATCAACAAATTTTTGCAGCCAAATTCAAGAATAATTGAGTAGCTAACCAAGATCCCAGCCCTTGGCCGTCGAGGCCGCCTGACTTAGTGCCCATGGATCTAATCCTATAGATATATTTGCGGAAGAATAAAGGTTCCTTATTCTTCCGTATAATCTAGACAAGAATTACAAATACTCAGCAGTTATGAGAGGGTATCTTTCACCCCTACTGAGTTAGTGAATTCCGCGAGAAATGTTCAAAAACTGTCCCGTCTGTCCATAACAGAAGACGGTTGATATGTCGAACACCTGTAGCAAAATTTCATGTCTTGGTTTGCTATTTATTTTTATTGTTATTAGATGTAGTTTAAATGTGCTGATGTTGGTTAAATATATTTTAAATTGTTATAAAATTCTGCATCTCTTATAGCAAATATTATTTTCGTTTTAATTGATGCTCACAGCTAGAATTTTTTTGCATTAAAGCCGTTCAAAGCCTACTTATTTAAATCGGGCGAATTTTTATATACTCTATATCTCGAAGAGGAATCGAGCAAAATATCAAGTGTGTTATATTTTTAGAAAGATAATTTTAAATTCTTTTCAATAAATTAAAAATATACAGGGTGTCCCATATAAAAAATCAAATTTTTTGTTGATAATTCTTAAATTATTAATTTAAAAAAAATTATACTTAAACCATTAAATTCTACGTAAAAAGGTGCTTCGGAAATGTTTTCATAAAAATACAAAATTTTCCACAGCAAAAAAATTAGAGCGATTTGTTAAAAATGCATATTTTTGAAAAACACCCCGTAACTCCGAAACGGTAACAGATATCCATATGCGGTTTTCACCATCATGTTTTTGACAAAAATTGAGCTCCAGACACCGATATTAGTTTTTGTCTATCTCCTATAGAAAAGGGTGTTTGCATTTAAAAGCGTCGAATTTGACCCACCCTGTACAGAGTGTTCCTTACATCCAGACACGCAAGTCTATATCCAAAAACATATTTTCTCGAATTTTCAACTACGCCTTTAAAAATCATATTTTAGTCTATATTAGAGTTGAGGGTTGGACCCTTTGGTGTTACACAGCAAAATAAAACACTAAATCACCACAATACACCAAAACACTTTTACTTTTACACTGGACGCGCGTTTCGCTAACCATATTAGCATCATCAGCAGATGATTAAAAACTTAGTCTATATAAAAATAAATTAGAACCTTCTTAAGACCAGCTGGCAGTAGGGGCCACTAAAGAGTAAAGACGAGTACGGGCCAAGGAAATTACGTGCAAGGCTTGGCCTCGCCAAAATTATCATCGTTCAACCTTTTTTGACGCCGTTTTTTCAATCATACCGGTATATATTATAATTCTTCTCAGCAAAGTATTCTGTTCCGTGGTCTCCAAATACTGCTCATACTTGTAATAAATTAAACATTTTGTTTTGTTGTGTAATGTAAAACATGATTTAATTAAAATATTACCCAGATTAATCAAAAAAAAATAAAATAAACATGAAGATAAGATTATAAACCCATAATACAAGAAAACGCACCATGTATACCAATCATGTTTTTCAGAAAAAAATAAAATGGTATAAAAAGATTTAATATAGGCATGAAATTTAAAATACATAATACATTTAGATTTAAATTGACTTAGACAAAGCCTCACAAAGGTAAGGGTGTTTTTTTTATATGGCTACAAAATTTTGTAAGCAAGCAATAATTCCATTTAGACAATATTTAAACATTGAAATATAATTAAAAATGTATTTTGCAAAACTAATATTATTTGCTAATACCTACTTCTAGGACACGAAATAAAATGAAAGAAAAATCTAAAAAAACGATAACTACATGAAAAAAAAATAAAACCAAAAAACTATTATAATAGCAAAAGTTAGAAGAAAAAGATTTGATAGATATTAAAAAAAAAATGTATCAAGGAAAGTTCAAAAATTACTACTTCAATTCTCTAAACCTAGCAACGATTAATAAATTTAAATTTTTACTACAAAAAACAGAAATATATTTCTATTTGGATTAATATAGTTCTTAAACCGCAATATTTATTGATAATTTATTGCATTAAAAATACCAAACGAGGATTACGCGTAAATAGCAAAGATTGAAAGAAAGGGAAATTTGGTCTAAATCCCAAACGACTTGAAGCATTAATATTAAAAATAATAGATTTTGAAAAATTCTTGACTTTGTGGAATATAGAAAGGTCTTAATAAAATTGGGTATAAAAAGAAAAAGGCGACCACGTATAGCTCTGGACGAGAAACCGTTTGTGATGGGCATTAAAATCGAATCACGCGATTCAATTTCTCATACTGAATCGACTCTTACGATTCATTCATTTGAACAAACTACAAATACATTTTACGCTTCACAATATAAATAGTTTTTTTTGTAAATAATTTTTACATCGTTTGCATTCACACATTTCATGATGTTTGTTTAGAGTTTTTGTTCGAGTTTATTGATGCCCTGCTACATAAAAATGCATTCTTCATAATTATGAAGATGGCGTTAAATTACACTTTATTTAATTATTAATTTATCAAATTAGTGTAATAGAACATTTTATTACTAAGATAATTATTACTTCTCTATATTTATATCATTGCTACTACCTACATTACAAACGTTTGGGTACCCAGTAATCAAACTATAATTATAATATTCATTTTTAAGCGAACCATATTGTAAGCAATGAATCAATTCTCACGATTCTTTGAACGAGTCGTAGAAACGAACGAGTCGCATTGTGATCCGATTCATTTTTTACGACTCTCTTTTACGACTCATTTGTTCAAATTTTATGGATCCGTGCTGGCGACGATTCAATTGAACGAACCATATTGTAAGCAATGAATCAATTCTCACCTGTCACTGAACGAACGAGCTGTAGAAATGAACGAGTCGCATTGTGATCCGGTTCAATTTTCACGACTCTTTTTTACGACTCATTTGTTCAAATTTTATTGATCCGTGCCGGCCACGATTCAATTGAACGAACCATATTGTAAGCAATGAAACAATTCTCACCTGTCACTGAACGAACGAGCTGTAGAAATGAACGAGTCGCATTGTGATCCGATTCAATTCTCACCACTCTTTTTTACGACTCGTTCGTTCAAATTTTATGGATCTGTGTTGGCCTGGATTTAATTGAACGAATCATATTCTAAGCACTGAATCAATTCTCGCTATTATTTGAACGAACGAACCGTAGAAACGAACGAATCGCATTGTGATTCGATTCAATTCTTACGACTCGTTCGTTGAAATATTATGGATTCGTGCTGACCACGATTCAGTATTCTAAACGTTGAATCGATTCGCACGATTCATTTTTAATACTCGTTCAAAAGAACGACTCGTTCATTCTTTGCCCACCTTTAGAAACCTGTTGGTAAGAGAAGATCTGGAAGACCTCCAAAAAGATTGAAAAACAGTTGGGAGTCCGCCTCTCAAAAACTCATACAGAGGCAACCTTAAAAATAACAGATCGAAAAATCTCAAATAGGCATAAAAAGGACAATACTTTATCTATAACTTATAATATCTATAGTTTGAGACCGCAAACTGCCCGATTTGCCTGAAATCTTAGCTTGCCGCGCGAAACCAAATAGTCTCTGGACCGTAACACTTATAAAAGGCGCAACTTTAATTTTTCATTCTCTCGCAGTACGAAAATGACTCGCTTTTGCTTGTTTTTGGTTGTTCTTTTTTGGCACCGACCAGCTCAATGTAAGTTATTATTGAAATCTGCATTTCTCTTTGCACAATCCTGTATATTTTAATTAAATAAACTCCAAAAATAAATTTTTAATTTGCATTTATACATAGTATTTCCTGAAGTGGTGAAAAAATTATATTTTTTTTCAAACGTCACAAAAATATTTTTGCGAGGTGATTGACAATATATAAAAGTCATTTTAAGGCCAGACCAAATTAGCTACAGTGTTTCACATTTTTACAGAAGACATAATTAATTCATTACTAAATATTGTTGTGCAACAACTATATTTTGCAATCATAATCATCACCAGATAATTAAAAGTGTCTAAAAAGAGTTTTAAAACACTATCTATATCTATTCTAGGTGGGAAGAACGAGAAGATCCTTCATGGTAAAGTAGTAGACATCACCGATCATCCTCACCAAATAGCTCTGCTCAACACCAAATTCAACAAAATAATTTGCGGAGGGGTCATTGTTAAACCCAGAGTGGTTTTCACTGCTGCCCATTGTACCCATACCCGAGATCTTCAACCCAGAAAGAACCTAGCTGTTCTGGCCGGTGCCAACCATGTTGAAGACGACGATGGAGCCGTGCATCACATCGCAAAAGTGTTCAAACATCCGGATTTCTCATATCACGTGAGTATACAGTAGGGTGACCGTTATTTATTGATCATTTCTCTCACGACGCACGACGCCCTCGAAACAATAACAATAACAATAACAGATCATTGTAAATCCTTAATATTCACAATAAACCTTAGAGATAAAAAAATAATTTTTTTATCTCTATTTTGTTCTCTTGTAGCCATGGTAATTACATATTCTTATACAGAATTGAACGTTTTACAAAAAATGTCTCTCACAATTTTTCGATAAACCTACTCCTTCGAAAGTTATTCACGGTTAAAGTTAACCACTCTGTAAATTCCTAAATTCTTCAGCTTTTAATCAACATTTAATCTATTACTGTAAAATTATACAATTTTGATGGTGTTAACGTTGGGAATTAAGAAATCTTCAAGTCTAATGAAGTTTAAACCATTTAAGCTGATTTAAGAATCTTAAGGTTATTTTAATATTAGACAATTTCAAAATATTTATGCGGTAGAAAACAATATTTTTTCATTAAGTCACCCGTGGGAAATTATAAGCTGGAAAACTTAACAACACCAAGTTTAAGAAGATATCAAATATTCAACCGGAAATTTTGCCGATATCTTTTAGGCAAGTTTCTTTCTATATTGCAGCTCATGTAAACACGCGATGTCTTTTCGCGAAATTGCAATATTTATTTTTAATTTAAAGATGAAGTAGATGGCTTGGTATATGTATATACACAGACATAACAGGGTCTATTCAAGGAAAGGATTATCCCCGAGCAAGGTTCTGTCCAACATATACATGGTATATAGATCTAGATATATTTTAAAGGCCAGAGAATCTATTACAGCACATAATAATTCCTATTTTGTAATCCTAAATAAGATTGTATGTTATTATTGATTATGAAATATAATTTATTATTTATACCTTAAGCACAAATTACCTATAACAGATGCGAAAGAACACCGAATTACGCGTTCAGGTTTCTGTGACCTTCAGAAAGAGTTCATAGACAATCCGCATCAATGTACAGTTTGGGTTATTATTTGTTTGGGTGAAAATAATCTGCACCAATATGTTATCGAGGCATACAAAAAGGTCCACAGACTTCGAGACATACGAAAAATCAAGTCCATTTAGCGTGTATCGCAATTTTCACACCTTAAAAATTAGTTTTTTATAGCTATAGCAACTGTAGCGACTATGAAAAAAAGCTGTGTGATTTTCATAGAAAATAAGGGCACCTGTAATTCATTTGAGAATGTTATAAATCGCTAAAAGAGGTTTCAAATCTCTTGGATTTCTATTAATATTAAATAAATTTTATTAAAAATTGAACTAAAATTGTTAGTATCATTAAAAACAATTCAAATTCAAAAATTGTTTCAGTCAAATTCCCTCATTTAAAGTGAATATTAAAGTAAATATAAATACAGCTCATTCTAAGCTCTACTTATCTTTAAGAAAAATTTAAATCATTGTTGCAATTGGGCCTTAATACCATTTCGAATGAACAATAGTATTAATAATGTACATTATAATAATAATAAATTTTATATCATAGTGTGTATTAAAACTACTAAAACACTTTTAAATTGGTATTATATTAACAACTTTTGTTTTTTAATCCAAAAAAAAGTTACCAATTTTCTCAATCAAAATATTTGTGGTCCTGAAAAGGACCTTCGTTTTCCCATGTTCGTCAAGGTAGGTACAGTACATCTGCTGGATATGTGTCTATGAAAGAAATGCGGACAAAAAACATTTAAATAAACAACAATATATTTTATACGTCGATCTGACGAGTGCGTCACCGCAAATCGCTCCGCCCACTCATTTTATTGGCTACTTGCAAATTTGTTGAATTTTTATTGATGGGACGCGTCGTCTATTTTTTTACGAAAAACATCGAGAGAATATCGTTTCCCCTCTCACGGATACCCCGTAGCTACAGAACGGACAGACGTACTGTAATGGGTAAACGGTAAAAAAACAGGATAATGAAATTTAAAAAATTACAAAAATTGTTCAAAAGTGCCTCCCTCTTGCATTAAACAATAACCCAAACGATCATAAAATCCCCTCCTCACATTGTATAACATATCAGGTGTGACAGTGTCAAAGGCATTAAATATTTTCTGCCTTAACTGCTCCAAGTTTTGAATTTCTTCATGGCCGTAAATTTTAGATTTTATGTACCCCCATAAAAAGAAATCATTCACCGAGAAGTCAGGTGAAATTAAACGTCAGTCTAAACAAAACTGTCATTTTTGAAAACTTGTCAAAATTTGGACACACGCTAAATGGACTTGATTTTCCTATGTCTCGAAGTCTGTGGACTTTTTTCTGTATAATCTCACAGTAATTTAATAGATTGCTCGTCATATTATATCAGCTCGTAGGAGATTAGGAAAAAAAAAAGACATTTATAGTATAAAAATTAATTTATTTAACAAAATTTAATTAAAGATGTGACAAAATAGTTACATTTCTATTGGTTCTATCGGACTTTTTGGACTATATAAATCTTTATTTTTGTAAACTTTAATGCATAAAATATTGTCAATCTAATAAATAATTTAATGATGTAAATAAGAGGAAATTTCTCACATGGGTGGTCAAATTCTATAGTTTTCATTATATCAAACAGCCTCTGAATGTTTTCTTCAGTGCAAAACTCATCAAAATTTAATATAAATAATTTTTCCATTTCCAGTAAATAAAATGAACAAATTTTTCCACTTTCATGATCAAAGGCTTTAAAATGGGTAAAATTTTCGATTTATCCAGAGATTCGGATTCTTTTGCAAATTTTAGACAAATATCACATTGATGTATTTGAAGACCCTTTTTAATGATGTAGTCAAACATAATTAAACGCATTTTGAGTTGAAAACATTTCTCAGAGGCTGTTTGATATAATGAAAACTATAAAATTTGACCACCCATGTGAGAAATTTCCTCTTATTTACATCATTAAATGATTTATTAGATTGAAAATATTTGATGTATTAAAGTTTACAAATAAAGATTTATATTATAGTCGAAAAAAGTCCGATAGAACCAATAGAAAGGTAACTATTTTGTCACATTTTTAATTAAATTTTGTTAAATAAATTAATTTTTTATACTATAAATATCTTTTTTTTCCTTATAAATAAACACATTTGCATCCCATTTTAAATAAGATATACAAAAATACAAAACCACGCACTATGTCATTCTAGCAAGCGAATACGACACAGCATAGGTTTCCGGTCTAAACGACTGGTGTATTTACACCACTCAATAGGCGTGTCGGGTTTGCCGAGCGGTTTCCGATGCAGTCGCTTTCTTTCGCATCTGTTATAGGTAATTTGTGCCTTAAGAGTCCATATCATACTAGTCCGAAAAAGTAGCAGAATAAGCGTTCGGCATTTAACATTTTATGTAAAATTGGCTAGGTATATTCTCACAAATGAAGAAGGAAATTAAAGATAAAGGATTATACTATATCCGTATTGTAGCACATTTTTAGACAACTTCTTTATTTTTGAGATTTTGATGGTCAAACATCAATAAAAACTTCTTTATGTTTGGACTAAATTTTCTCGAAAATAAAGACACAATTTAAAATTCCGTTACAATACGGAAATAGATTGAAGTTTTGTGATTACAGTGATATATAATTTATATGGTTTTGTAACAAATTGCTCGATATTTTATGGCAAATGCTGAAGCTCTGCAAACCTTAATCAAGCCTTAATCAAAGCCCGTGTGTTTTGAATTTTAGGTGTGGCTTAACACGACTCTCTATCTCCAGTAGTTTCCGAGATACCCATAGAGAACATCGTAGGAAACTCACCCTGTATATTTTGTTTAAAAAAATGCAACTTTAAATAGTTTGTAATTATTTTTAATCCCCATGTATATCCTCAAAATAGAATAGAATTAAAAAAAAATAGAAAAAATTTAGACAAAGAAACAAACTTCTATAAATTGTATTTTTAAAATAATAATTAACATTTAATAAAACAACTAAAACTACCATGTCTAAAATCTTGTAAAAACTATAATCTACAACGAGGTTCGTATTAGACCCGAGGGAAAATGTCGGAAATTGACAAAGTTTTCCATTGACAGCGACTGAGAAATTAATAAACGTTTTGAAAGAGATTTTTTTATTAAACATCGAATTTTTGGTAATAATGAACGCCTACCTGTGTAAAGAAAGAGTTCGATAAGAGATTTCACTGTGAAATCTAATTGTTAAAAAAGTTTGCCAAATATTGCACGGTACATAACAAGATATTACGAATTTTGTTATGTTTTTGCTTTAGTTACATTAAGAAATGTTTAAAATACACTTTAAAAAGAAATTTCAGATATTTTTTAAGTACAATAACCTATAATAATAGCTAAATAAAATGTATGTTTCTTTATTCTAGGGTTTGGACAGTGACATCTCTGTCATTCTCTTGAAAGAACCAATCCGATTCAGCCAAAAGGCGAGAAATATTGAGGTATCCACAGATCACCATCCAGAAGGAACGAGAGCCATGGCCTCTGGATGGGGTAGAACAGAAACAGGCTCTCAGTCCAGGGATTTGAGGTATTTCTTCTAAGTTCGATTGATGTCCAGAGTTTCAAACTTTTTTAACACAAAATCTTTATGTTAACTAATACAAGAAATATTTATTGTTTGAAATTCCTGTATGTTATGGATAAAATTATAGTAATTTTTGATATTAATTTAGTTGACTTTCAGAGCTGTAGATTTGACCATAGATGATGCTAACAACTGTCAAAAACATTTCCCTGGAGTGTTTCATCCTGTTATCACCGACAACATGGTCTGCGTCAAACCACACTACAAATCGACTTATTACGTAAGAAATTTATCGAGTATAGAAAAATATTTCTAGGATTTTGTTTCTTTATATGGAATTATTTCTGCCACATTATTTGAAACAAACCTAATTCAATTTTTGTATGAAAATTTAAGCTACTCAAAAACATCAACCAACTATTTTCTTTTCTCTTTGTAGTGCAATACAGGTAGGGGCGAAAAGTTATTAATCTTCAAAACAGTTCAAAAACGTGTAGGTGGTGTTCATTGACATTAAAATCAAATTTTCAAAATTACGTTTAAACATTCCTGCCTGGGATAAAATGTTCTCTAATGCCGGGTCCAGACCAAGAAGACAAAACAACGACAAAACAGAAACGTTCATGTTTTACGACAAAATTGCGACAAATCCAATACATTTCTGCAACATTTTTGTCTCATTTTTGTTTTGTTTCAAAATCTAGTCTATGTTTTGTTCGTATATTTTGCGACAAATTGTCGGCGCAGTGAAATCACACATGGTTAATAAAACTGATTCGCAACAAACTTTTGACCTTATTGTTCTTCTGTCCTTGCGGTGTGGACAATTTGTCTCGAGTTTGTCTTCTCAGAATTCCCCATTTTTTGTCGCAAGTTTGTCTTGTTTTTGTCTCAAAATCGTGTTTACTTTTTGTCTCCTTGTTGTGGACTCAGCATAAGACACAATAAATAATTATTTTTCGTTAAGGCATCTATCTCTATGTCCACTTGATTCTCTGAGCGGAAAATAGATACCTGTATCACTGAATCGATCTCTAATTTTACAATAATTCGATTTCGTATTTACAAAAGGGGGCCTACAGCATTCAAAATGGATACGTTCTGACAAAGCTACTAATTGAACTTGTAAAGATGACAGGAATTCAATCCAAAATAGAGTGGTGTGATCAATATCATCCTGGCTCTAATATTATTTATGAACTAGGAAATTTATGTATGTTGATCTGAATTTAGATCGTTTGTAAATAATTCGCACATTATCTGTAGGAGGGTGTATTAAATGTATACAGGGTGGACTAAAATAATTTTTGAATGTAATTACCAACATATAGAAACATACAGTTTTCAGATTGTATGACCACAAATTTATTATAATCCTTAAAAAATGTTCTTTTCTTCTTTTGAAGAAAAAAATCGAAATTTGTTCATGGAAAAAATTCTTTATAATTTAATAAAATACTATAATAAAATTATTATACAGGGTAAGTTTTAAATACGTGCAAATATTTTTAGGGGTACTTTTACATATAGTCTGTCCAACGAGAAGATCCTTGACAGTGATAGATGTGTCTGTCATTTTAATTTCAAAGTAGTTTATTTTATTTTTCAAAGAAATAAGTTGGTACAACTGGAACGCATAGCAGGATATATTTAAAATTTGATTGACAAGATGACAAGTGATTACTTCAAAATATTGTGAAAAAAACTGTATAAAACTGAAAAAATGTAATCGAGTTTTTAGAGAATTTTATTTAATACAAACGGTATATGTAAATACAAAACAAACAAGAACAAGACACTACATACCAAAAAAATATGAAAAAGAACTATTATTTACTTTCAAGCTTTATGAAACTTCCCGCATTTATGATTATATTTATCAATATAACTTATGTACAAATACAAATTTGTGATATTCCACATGAATAAATAAAACAACATAGGTAAATAAAACAAACTATTTTATTAATAATAACACCTACCAAATTTTATACCTTAAAGGTTGATTAATTAACTTTAATCTTAATTTTTTTAAACCAGTACCTTTTGACATTATTTTTCTGCAGTACTAAAATCCATTATTTACCTATCGTGCGATGTAGATATTTTACAGCTACTCATTTAGTTTGATCCTTCTACCATATACGAGATGCACTTATCTACGACGAAATGGTATACAAACTTTATCGATGGCAACTTCATTGGTGTATAAAACTTTCTGCCTGGGCAGCGAGTATAAACCATAAACTGTGCTCTGGGTCTACAGTTAATTTTCACTCGATTTTTCCTCCACTTGACTTCAAAATACACAAAACACACGTAATAATACGAATCAAAATGCATCATCTTCCAAAACGCAGGGTATTTAACAAAAGTTGACACAAAATTCTAACCTATAATTTGGCAAGACTTTGACAAGCGTCAAAAATGACAAAAATCTAAAGGCGAGTTCATACGCATCGGCGTCCGTTTGTCGTTCATCGTTCCGTCAAACCAATAAAATTGAAATACGATCTGTCATTTTTTTAATAAACCAATAAAACTGGTTAAAAACAACAAGACACGACGCATGACGGATTTATATTTAAACCCATCCATAAATTTAAAAAAAACTTAAAAATTATTAGAAACTTTTTTTAGTAAAATAAATAGATTGGTATGGGACGTCATCTGCTTTTCTTCTGTCATCGTCTGTCGAAATCTTACCTGAGAAAAAAAAACAGAGTATAATGTAAAAAAATAGCATACTAAATTCTAAACTCTGTGAACAAAGTGAACAATATTAAGGCATTTATCATCCACTTCCCCTAATACCGCCGTCTGTTCTTAAACACCCCACTCTCTCCCTTTATATTTTTCCTCCCGCTACAGCTTATTAACGAATCGGCAAACATAGCTTGGAGCGGCAAAAGCTACAGCTACAGTTTCCCCTTCATATCGATGGTGCTGCTACGGGGTAAATATTAAACCAAGCGTGCTTCTCTCCGTGTGTATCTACTACGGTTTTGTATTATGACGTCTTTTCCTAATGAAGAAGATTACGAATTACAGACACTAATATTTTGAAATTTGCTCTGCGCGTATCGTACTGTATTTGTTAATTTGAATGCTCAGATTTGCGTAAAAATGTTTTTATTTGTAAATGTCAAATATTTAGAGAGAAGAGATTTAAATTAAGTTAGTCCTTAAGGACAAAATTATACAGGGTGAGTCTAAAATAAGTGTAAATATTTTCGGGGCTGGTAGATCTCGATAAAAGAGTCATATTTTCTCTTTACCGTTTTTTAACTAATTGTAAAAACATAGTGGGGCATCTCGATGCGATGCTCGCCGCGATGCATCTAGATGCCTCAGTATGTAGGTACCCTAAGGCTTAGGGTAAAGCCCAAAATAGGGGCTGCTCCCCTAACATTTTGCGCTTGATGTATACCATGATAGTAAGACCCATGATTACTTATGGAGCAGTTGCCTGGTACACAAAACTAGAGCAACGGACGGCAAGGCTAAACCTATGCAAAGTCCAGAGACTAGCATGCGTTTGCATCACAGGAGCCATGAGAACCTGTCCAACAGCAGCAATGGAGGTCATTCTAGATCTAACACCACTGCACATTGTCATTGCATATATGCCAATGCGACAATGATTAGAATGGTCACTAACGGAATTAGTACTGGGAGAATTGTCAGATCAGGGGCTTGGAACACCCTCATAAAGGAAATACCACTCCTGCAACTCCCAGTGGACGATATGCCAAGAACCTACAACTTTGAGAAACATCTCAATGTAGTATTGGGCAATAAAAAGGATTGGAAGAGCAAAACGCTTGCCCAGCAGTTAAAAGACCATACCATAACTTGGTATACTGATGCTTCCTAAACCAATACGGGAACAGGGATCGGAGTGTTTGGGCCGAGAGCTAATTACTCCGAACCAATGGGCACTTACCCTAGTATCCTACAGGCAGAAATCTACGCTATCGAGAGATGCGTACAACTTATCTTAGATAGGAACTATCGGAAACAAGAAATAGCCATCTTATCTGATAGTCAAGCAGCGTTAAAGGCGATCAACTCAGTCTCAATCAATTCGAAATTGGTCAAAGAATACATAGAGAAGCTGAATAAATTAGGCAAAGAAAACAAAGTCCTCCTACACTGGGTGCCTGCTCACCAAGGGATAAAAGGCAATGAAAAAGCAAATAATCTAGGTAGAAAAGGAGCGAACACTCCACTAACTGGACCAGAACCGTTCTGCTTTCCAAGTGGTAACCAACTCAAGGAGGAACTCAAGAACTTGGAAGATTCCATCCGCAACCTGGAATGGAAATCTTGCAATGGTCTAGGACACTCGAAGAAGTTTCTGAGGGCTTATGATCAATAAAAATCACAGATCTTCCTAGGTCTGAGTAAGAACAATCTTCGGATTGTCAGGGGTTTTTAACAGGACACTGTCTCCCTCAATGAACACCTCAGTAGATTGAAACTAAGAAGAAACGGCGAATGCAGATTCTGTGGGGAAGATGGGGAAACACCAGTACACCTCATCACTGAGTGCGCCGAGACGACAACCATTCGTGCCATGAATTTTGGTACGACTGATATTGGAGATGGAGAACTACCCTCTATAAAACCGTCCCAGATACTGGCTTCTGTCAAAGCCCTGGGACTGTATGATGAGTTATGATTCAAGAAAGGGGGACACAATGGATCTGTAAGGTCGAAGTGATTAACCCCCCTCCCACTCATTCTAAATTCTAAATTCTAAAAGCCCAAAATAACCGAGTTATTTTACTTTGAAAATAAAAAAAATATTTTTTGCTTCAATTTTGGGAACCGCTGGATCTTTTCTCTATAGGTTTTATTTCTAGTAATCTACTACCTATATGTTGCCATAGTACAGTATTAGAAGAATATTATCTTTCTTAACTAAAAATTAAAAAAAAAATAAAAAAAAACTCAGACGTGTTTCTGGGATGGTAATATACTACCCCTAAAAATATTTGCATTTATATATGACTCACCCTGTATATACATCAAAATTTTCAATTTTAAAGACTTCTTAAATTTGTCAATGTTTTAGGGTGACAGCGGTGGACCTTTGACAGTTAATGGGAAATTAGTAGGATTGGTATCGTTCGGCAGAAGATTAAAACCGAACAAGAAAACCACCGTTTTCACTAAAGTGGGAAATTTCCTGGATTTCATGGAGGAAGTACTACCGGAGGAATACAGAGAAGACTAAATAGATATTTTATAACAGTACGCATAACTTCTTTTTGTTTTTAAAACCCCTAACATAATATTTTACCGTATGATCGAAGAAAAGCGGCGTCCAGTTGGCTTGGAAATGACTATGTCAATGACATTCCCCATATAAATTTACATATAAAATGACAGCGATCTTCATTTCCAAGCCATCGCTGACGCCGGTTTTTTTTTCGATTATATTGTACCATATTATACAGTTCTTACCCAATAAACTTTTAGTCACATGATTAAGCTTGACCGGCACAGCGTTGTCTATGTTATCACTTATATTTTCTTTTAATGAAAATATTCTAGGAAACAAAAATAAATTAATTACAGATATACAGGGTGTTTCAAAACAAATGCGAAAAACTTCAGGGGGTGATTCCTTGTCCAAAATAAAGGGTAGTTTGCTTTATAAACGTTGGGTTAAAAGCCAACCATTGGGGAGATATGGCGGTACAAAGATGGCGGAAAAATAATGTTTTTATTTTTTATCTTGAAAACGAAAAGAGATAGACTAATGAAATTTTATGGAAGCATTACTGTTATGAAACACACTTTCTGGTAATTTTTTCACTTTTTTAAAATGAGTGGAAGGGGTTGAAATAAACTACCCCTATCATTCTTGTTAACGAAATTTAAAGAAAAATCTTATCAAACACATGCAAAAAAATTAATTTGGATAGTTTAGTTTGTTTAGAAACGTTTTTATCTCTTGTATTTTTTTTATAAAACTCACCGATTTGAAATTAAAAAATCAAATGTAAAGCATTACATGTCAGGACTAAAAATATTTTTAGATTAAGAATCTAGTGATAATAATGATAATAATAATAATCTAGATAATAACGTATTGCAGTAGGGCAATGTCAAATAAAACAATATTAGAAACATCCTAAAAAGTGACAGCGGCCGACTAGATTTTTTCCTAAAAAAATTACAGCTGCCCACTAGATTCTTTATCTAAAAATGTTTTTTGTCCTGACATGTAATGCTTTACATTTTATTTTTTAATTTCAAATCGGTGAGTTTTATCAAAAAAACACAAGAAATAAAAAAGTTTCTAAATAAACTAAACTATCAAAATTATTTTTTTTTGCATGTGTTTGATAAGATTTTTCTTTAAATTTCATTAACAAGAATGATAGGAGTAGTTTATTTCAACCTCAATTTCATTAGTCTATCTCTTTTCGTTTTCAAGATAAAAAATAAAAACAGTATTTTTCCGCCATCTTTGTACCGCGGTATCTCCCTAATGGTTGACTTTTGACCTAACGTTTATAAAGCAAACTACCCTTTATTTTGAACAAGGAATCACCCCCTGAAGTTTTTATAAGTATGATTTAAATGAGCTAATGTAGCTGAAAATTTCTCTATTCTGAATTTATTCGGTGTTATCATCTAATAAAATCCGAACACTAACTTACTAAACTAGGCAGCGTTAAAAAGGTTTTTCTTTGCATACATATTTCTTTTATATGTGACACTCTACCCTTCTTTTACCTTCCCTTTTATGCCCTGTTTTATTATATTGATCATAAACATCCCTTTATTACTGTTTTAAAGCCATAGTAACAATAAAAATCCTCAGAAATCAAACCCTCACACTAAATTCGTATGTTTACAGCACAAAACGCATTACAGGTCAAAGATATTATCGGGAAATGTATCTATATTATGCTTTATTCCTTTTTTTGGGGGGGTTTGAGTTTATTATGTAGGCATGCTTTTTATACATTTCAAAAAAAAAACAAAGGATGTATATCGGAGTGTATTCGAAATATTTTTGGATAAAAGTTCAAAACGGTAACGGCGGACTATAAATGAAACCTGTTTAGCATTCACGGCGCGTATTTGGAAAACACTAGTTAACCTGAAAATGTTATCCAGAGGCGTAGAGAAAGGGTTTTAATAAAGGAAAAAAATATACGAAATAATATACATGTACTGATTTCTTTCGAAAATTTATTGACATTAATTATATTGACAACTATGAAACTATGATCCCTTCCCCGACACAAACGGTACATTATGAGACAGGAAATTGTAGAGAGAAGTTAACAAAACTACTGTAAACCACTATAAATACGAATTGTTGGTTAGGTTCAAAATGTTTTCTGTTCTTAAAGAAAATTAAGGGTTAACATTATTAGGCATTTGCATAAAAGTGCGTATTTTGGGTGGTATATATGAAATTGTTTTTTGATTACTTTATAAGTCACTTTTTCAAACATGTCCATTAAATCCTTCAATTTAATAGCTGTTATGATCCCTTTCCCAACACAAACGGTACATTGTGAGACAGGAAATTGTAGAGAGAAACAAACCCTATAACATAGGATACAACATTTTAATGAACAGTGCTTTCCTCAAGAAAATGAAAAATATACAAAATAATATACATGTACTGATTTCTTTCAAAAATTGACGTCTATAAAACTATGAACCCTTCCTGGACACAAACGGTACATTGTGAGACAGTAAATTGTAGAGAGAAACAATCCCTATAACATAGGATACAACATTTTAATGAACAGTGCTTTCCATAAAATCAATAAAATGAAAAATAGACGAAATAATATACATGTACTGATTTCTTTCAAAAATCGACATCTATGAAACTACGAACCCATCCTGGACATAAATGGTACATTGTGAGACAGTAAATTATAGAGAGAAACAAGCCCTATAACATAGGATACAACATTTTAATGAACAGTGCTTTCCATAAAATCAATAAAATTAAAATTTAAAATATACGAAATAATATACGTGTACTGATTTTTTTCTAAAATCGACAACTATGAAACTATGAACCCTTCCCGGACACAAACGGTGCATTGTGAGACAGGAAATTGTAGAGAGAAACAATCCCTATAACATAGGATACAACATTTTAATGAACAGTGCTATCCATAAAATCAATAGAATAATGATTTATTGTATAACATAAATTTACCGTATTTTTACCTAAAATTATTCTAAAAAATATTTTGTTATATAAAATGTTTTCATAGCAAGTAATTATAAAGGTGCGCATTATATATTTAATCCTTTCCAATCAAAAAAATATAATCCGCTTATCTCTTACGAGTTGAACAATATTTTCATAGTTATCGTTAGTTTTGTGCCCTCGTTACTATTTTATCAACGTTTGTATATATTATTTAAAAAAAACAGTTTGTTGTTTCATAACTCTATATTTATAAAAATAACTTTCTGATCCGACTAGCTGCGTACCCTTTGAATAAGAAGACTAAGGAAGGAGCATAATGCTATCCATGTATTCATGCATGGTGGGCGGAAAAGGCACCATAAAAGCTCTCTAGGGTGGGGATCCTTGACAGTTCTGTTTGACGATTCATTTGACACATTTGAATTTGATTTGAAATTTTGTGGATTTGTCAGTCTTTACGGAGCTGATTTCATGTTATTTATTATTTATTCTACTACTGATAGTTGTATAAAGGTAGTAAATCTAGATGGAAATTGTGGCAGACCTTAAATTAACAGTGACACTATCGCGATTTATCGAAAAAGACTCTAAAATAGTTGGTTGTGTAGCGTGCGGTAGATCTCGGCAAAAATTGAGTGAAATAGTGGAACAACTTTTCGCTAGTAAGTGACTATATAATATATATACGTGTAGTAAACCGATCATTTATGAAATTCACTTAAATTAACTAAATTATATATTTTTCTTGCATTTTAGCTTTTATTTATTACTTGTCAAAGATTAGATGTCAAAGAATTTAGATACGTTAATTTGACTTACCTGCTTCAGTAGCGTATCGGATGTTTGTGTTAATAAATACTTATTATAACTTATCTATTTTTATTAGAATTATATATTTTTATAACAATTTTAATAACTACCAACATTTATTCACAACGTAAAATAAAACAACAAATTATTGAGTCTACCCTACATCATAGTTTTACATTTTTTAAATAAAATTAGAACGACACTGATCAACCGGAATTTAAGTCGGCCATATTTGAGGCCCATCGCGGTGTACCTAAGATTTTTGATATGCTCCTTCCTTAGTCTTCTTATTCAAAGTGCGTACCGATTGTGTTGGTTTGGAAACACAACTGTGGAAATGGTAAAAAAAATTTAAACGTCAACGTAAAAAAATTAATAGATTTTTTTTAATATTTGCTGTACGCCACTGATGTCTCTATGGAGGTTTCGGTTTCCCACAAGGCCCTAAACTGATTCTGTCTTATCGAGTTTATTAATCGGTTCGTTTAGTCCTGTTTGCATTCGGATTTTCGCCGAAATTTTACGTGCAACTATAACTTTTTTTCGAAATTTTCAACCTTTTTCCTATTGGCAGTTCACCTAGTTATAGGATTTTCCATTGAAAGCAATTCTAGCAAATGTAACAAAAGTTATTCCAGAATTTACGGTTTGTGAATGTAACTTTGAAGGAAGAATTACAATGTAGTAGAATTGTTTTGTATTAAATTTTATCATATATTATAGCAAGTGAATATACCCAATATTCCAGAATTTAGGAATTACATAAATAGAATTTTTTTCGAACTTTACGAAAGTTTTCGTTTTGGTTGCAAATTCCGCAAATTATATACTTTCTACATTCCATCTCTCGGAATATTCGCTCTATAATAGTCTCACAACATTTCGCAGCTTGTCAAAGAAACCTAATCAGTCTCTTATTTTTTCCACTTAATATATGTACATATATTCAATACCAATTAAACTTTAAGTTACGTAATCGAGGGCGCCATTTTTAAATTCATTGTTGCCAACCATGGACATATTCGGCGCCAGGCTGACTAACTGGAATGTAAATTTCGCGCTGGGGAATCAGGTGGTAGTTCTGCTGTAAAAAATGTCAAGTTGTCATAGTTATTTATTTATTTCCTGATATTGTCATTCGTTTTGACACTTTAGTCAGAGTACCTAAACCGACGAGTAGCGACAGTCCTGTTTTCAATTTTCTTTGCGAAATAAGTAGGTTATCTGTCATACGAAGAAGCGAAGT